AAAAAGGGCGATGTTTCTATTTTATTTTTTTTAAAATTTATTTTTATCTTTCCCCCCAAAACCCGAAATACCTTCCTTCTGTTTTTTTCTCCCTTCCCTCTCCCCCCGCCAGAAAGAAAAACAACAACAGCAAAAAAAAAAAAAAAAAAACAACCAAAAAACCACCCCAACCTTCCACCGGGCTCTAACAAAACCCCGATGCAACAAACACCGTGTCTGGGAGAATAAATTAATCCCTCTTTAAACAGCCTGACTCAGGGGCCGGGTGACGAGGGAGCTTGTTTTCTTTTAAAATAGGACGCGAGCGGGCCGGATTTCTGTAAAAACTGGCAAAATGCTAACGGTAATAGGGAGGAATAGGGACGGTGGAGCGTGCAACCCCTCCCTTTGCCAACTGAGTCACAATTTTCCCCCCTTCTGTCTGCGAAAGACTGACTTAAAAACACCGCTGTTTATGTAATACTGAAGAAAATCCAGTGTACCAAAAAGAAAAAAAAAATTAAAAAAATAAATTCTCTCCTGGCTTTTGTGAGCTGAGCCCTTTCGTGCCAGATCGTTTTCTGATGCCTCCTGCTCTTTTTGAGCTTGAAAACATAAAATGTGTAATTGCAGCAGCAGCATCAGCAAAAAAAAAAAAAAAAAGCCCCACACATCACCTTTCTGAAGGTAAAATAATCTCTTTGCACGTTCCCAGCAGCGGTCACTCGCTTACTCACTGTCCTCCTCGGAATTAAACCCAAACCCAACCCGTGACACGAGTTTGAAAACCTGAGTTGAATGAATAAATCCGCCAGGAGCGAGCACCATTCCTTTGGAGAGGAAAAATTATTCCCTTGCAAGTACCGAGGGATGAGTCACTCGCTCGGGTGCTCTGCCTCCGAAAACACGCCGGGAATGTTCCGGGGTGCCGGTACCGGGAGCTGGGTGCTGCGTTTTCCGCCTTTTCGCGATGAATGCGGGTGATGCCATCGAGTTTGGCTGAGGTCTTGTGAATTATTTCTCACTCTAGCGGGCAGTTGTGATTCGTACATAGGAAACTTCAGGCTAAGAAGTTAATCTCCTTAGTTTAGGGCCATCTCCCTCCGAGTTGGGGCTGTTTCGTCGCCTTCCTGCTTCCCAGGCTCGCAGATGAGAGTTTTCGAGGTGCAGTTACTCGTAGGCTGGCAACGTGGTGTTGCAGCAACCTCTGTCAGAAATGCCAAGGAATACTTTCAGATGCGTGTCCAGCTTCTTGCCGCTCGTCTTTTTTTTTTTTTTTTTTTTTGTTTTTTTTGAAGGGTACTGTATTTTGAAATAGCGATGTCACGCTTTGATTTAGGAGTAGGCTTTGCTGCTTTTAATTACGGAGTCAGCAGTTCACTTTCCTAACGTACTTAGCTACGTGCAACTTGGAAGCATCTTTATCAAACTGTGACGTGGAAATTTTCCTATTGATATCCCCCCCCCAATAATAAAGCTTTAAGACCTCATAATAAATGCCGATTATTGTTCTTGAGTCCTTTTGTTAAAACCAGCGATTCAGGGTGCGAGCATCCTCACGCACCCAGCAGACAGCACTGTTGAGATGCTCCTGATGTGACTTTAGTTTTTCTCCTTCCCGTTCTCACCGACAGCGTGTCAGCCGAGATTCAACTGGTTAGTTAAAAGTAGTAACAAAAAGTGGATTTGAAAGCCCCTCCTGGCCCCCTCCCCGCTACCCGTTAAATAACAAGTGAGGGAGTATCCACGCTCATTCCTCGCGGGGGGAGTTGTACCAAGCGCGTGTGTTTCAGCTGTGACAGGATTTGTGAGGGGCAGTTCAATACGCGGGGTGTAAAGCTGTGATTTTTAGCAGAACGTTGTCAGAGGAGGTTGCGATGCCTTAATTTTAGCCTCGCTAGCAATGGGATATGTGACTGTAAACTGCTCTTTCCAAATAAAGTTGTTTGATTGTGTTTAGGTGGCATTTTGGTGAACTGTATCTCTTTTTAAAGAAACAATTGTGATACTGAATAAGCGGTTCTTGTTTGGATCTTCTTAGTCCCTGAAATGCGTATTTTGAAACCCACTTTTAGTATCTGCTCGGAAAGCGAAAGTTGTGTCTGTTAATGTGAGGAGGAATCATCCATCAGACGGAGTGTTCAAGATATGACTCATGCTAATTTGTTGCTCTCACATTAAGGCTGGAGCGCAAAAATATTTTAGCCTCTGGCATTGGAAGTTCGCAATGCCACATCCTACCACTCCAGGTCACGAATTACAGGGTTTTTTTGTTTACTGCCCCCCAGGAAAGAAAAAAATAGTGATAGAACGAGGGTGTTCTGTGCGAGAGCCTGTCCCAGGCGATCAAAATATCACAAAAATGTTGGCTCGACATTAACGCTAGGTCAAGTCGAACCATGGCCTGTGCCTGAATAAAAAGGACGTGCGGGAGGCGTGCAGCAGGTGCTGTCTTCCCTTCTCGAACAGAGAGTTTAAAAAAAAAAAAAAAGTAGTACTGCCTGATCCTTTTTTAAAAGGCTTTAATGCAGGCAGCCCTTGGAAACTGAGGAATACCGCTTGTTGCAAAGAGGGGTTGCTAGAAAGAAAGCGCTGCTAATAACGCTGGCTATCTGGGAACCGAGATAAGCAGACTTATGTAAGCAGCAGCTTCGTAGCCTGTAGCCTTATGAATATACATTGTTTTATGTCCACTGTCTCTGTCGGTTCCGTAGGCATAAGTGCATCGTTACCTTGAAGTGCTGACGATTCTTTAAGGCTTAAAAATATCCACAAACTGCCTAAGTTTGAACCTTGTCCAAAGGATTTGGGCGCTCTATTATCCGATCTGCTAGCTCTGCCTTTGAAACTGTATCTCTGGAGCTATCCTTAGGTGCTCTTAAGTGTCTTCTGATGCAGTTCAACAACATTGTTCAATGCTTATTTAAAGTCGGCTGTAAAACATTTCAGATTTTTTAAAATTAAAACTGTATTTGAGCACCTAACTTGCTTAACATTGTACCTTCCATGTGTATTGTACATACTCTATTCTTTTTACGCAATGTAGATGTCTCAATGGCTTTTTAAAAACACGGAAAATAAATGGTTGAAAATCCACAGTTGTCGCTGAAGTCAGGCAGAAGTTTCACGGGGAAGCTGGAGCTTGGGCCGTGCCCTGATTTAGCAGCGTAGCCTCCAGGAGAGTTCTGCATCCGACTCTTCAGCAAGTGCTGCTGCCAACCAGCCCCTTAGGCTGTTGTTGGAGGTGGCTGCCGCGGCCAGGCACGCTGTGGTAACGTTCAGCTTACCTGTTGCATGCCAGGCTTCGGCACAGGTGGGATAAAGCGGAGATACAACCGGCCGGGCTGGCCCGGCTCCTCACCGTTCCCGCGAGTTTTCTCTCCCGTTACCGTACCGAGTCCGGGCTTTCTCCCGTGGGCTGTTCTCCTGTCGGACAGGCTCGCGGTGTTAGGGAGCACGTATTCACACCCACGTGCATTAGTGTTTGTAGCCACCGGTG